TTTTAAAAAAAAAATACATATGGTTCAGAACAGATTAACCGTATTTACATTGAACCTTATGGGAAAATTTGATTCGGGTCACGACCAATTTGGGTCGTGACCAGAGTCGCGGAATGAATTAAGTTCGTGAACTGAGGTACCACTGTAAAGCAATATATTTGAACTCTAGAAGACTGCTGTATTTCCTTGCTGGACAGGGAGGAAAAGGCTTCTATTTATCTTCCTCCTGCCCCCCCCCGGCAGAGAAATATGGTAAGGAAGGTATACTCTAAGCATCAACTTAGGTTGTCTAGTGTACCTGAAGCCACAACTTTTGAAGTTCTTCCTCATGTTAGGAAAAGAGAGCAGTGAAGGAGACTCTATTCCCCAAAAACTGAAGGACTAATGATAGAATGGAAGAGTCAGAAGGGACCTTGGAGATCATTTAGTCTAACCCCTGGCCAGTGCTGGAATCCACTGCTACATTGTCCCCAACTGATGATCATCCATGTTTAAATACTTATAGCAAAGGCAATTTTACCATCCTTTGGTAAACGAAGGTGGTGAACAGCTCCTCATTAGAAAATTATTCCTGATGTCCAAATTAAATCAGCTTCCTTGTCATTTAAACCCACTGCTTCTTGTCTTCTGTATGGCAGCCCTTCAGATACTTGAAGACAACTATCCTATCTCCCCACAGTCTTCTCTTCTCCATGCTAAACATATCCAATGCCTCCAACTGTTCCTCATCAGTTTTTTTTCCTCCAGGCCCATTATCATCTTGGTTGCTGTCCTCTGGACATAGTCCAGTTTGGCAGTGTCCATCATAAAGGTAGTGCCAAGCCCAGTACTGGACACAATATTGTAAGTTGGTCTGACCAATACAAAATAGAAGTAATGACTCCTCTTCATCCTGACCTCTGTACTTCTGTTGATGTTGTCTTGAATTGCATTCGCTTTTTTCACAGCTGTATCACACTGTTCACGTTCAGCTTGTGATCCACCAAGATACTCAGAACTTTTTCTCATATACAGTTGCTCAGTAAGATTCCCCTATATTGTATACTCATGTCTTAGATTTTCCTGTCCAAATGAAGGACTTTGTATTTGTCCCTGTTGAAATTCATCTTATTGGTTTCTACTCATTTTTTCAACTTGTCATGATCCTCCTGAATATTGATAGTTTTCTCTAAGGTGTTAACTCTTCCCCCTGTCTTTGTGTCAACTGCAAACTTGATAATTGTGTTTTCAAACCCCTCATCCAAGGCATTTATAAATACAATGAAAAATGCAGGGCCTAGAATGGAGCCCAGGGGTATGCCATTTGTTACTGCCTTCCATCCTGATGCAGAATCATTGACATACATTTGTTGGGTGTGATTGTCCAACCAGGTCTTTATTCAACTAATGGAAGGGTAATCCAGTCCACATTTTACCATATTCTCTACTGGAATTTAATGGAAGACTTTATTAAATGCTTTGCTGAAGTCAAGGTACATTGTGTCCACCATATTCCTGTAGTCAGTCAACTGGTCAGTTTATCAAGAGAAGGAAATCAGATTGGTTTGGCATAATTTATTCTTCACAAAATTATGCTATCTCCTGCCAAACAATGGATTCTTTTCTAAATGCTCACAAACTGATGGTTTAATCAGTCATTTCCAGAGTTTTGCCAAGTATTAATATGAAAGTGATATGTCTCTAGTTTCTTGGCTCTTCTTTAAAAAAAAAATACAAACAACATTTTTCTTTCTCTAGTCTTCTGGCACAACATATGTCACCCATGACTTTTCAAAGATCACAGAAAGGGCCCCAAGAGGGCATCCTCAAGCTCCTTCAAGATTTTCAG